CAGGAGGTGCAGGCACAGCCACCTTCCCTCCCCAGCGCCCAGGTGCTCCCCCTCGGCAGCAGCACAGGAAGCTTTCCAGGGCCTGGCTGCTCTCCTGGGGCTCTTGGGGCTCCTGGGGCTCCCAGCTCCCTGCCAGGCTTTACTGAAATGGCTGGAGGATCCCACAGCTCACCTGGAGGGAGCAGCAGCTCCCCTTCTCCCCAGTGAGACCAACCCCTGCAGCAGCTGCACCACAGCTCCAGAGGGTCTGAGCTGCCTGATGGGAAGACTTGCCTTTATTAATGCAAATTATTCCCAGCTGCAGGAGACAGAGCCCACAGGAGGCCCTTTGCTCCTCTGGGCCGGGAGGATGGAGGGGATGTGGGACTCTCCTGGTGACACAGATGCCCCAGGCAGACCAAGTCTGCACTAATGAACACGGCTGCCTGTTTCCCCTCATGTAAGCACCTTTCCCACACTTTCAAACAGCATCCCTTGACGCAGTTTGGCAGCTGCCCTCCCCATTCTGCATGAGTTGGCTTTTTGAATCCCTTAATCCCTGGCCCAGCAGCCTGCCTGTACCTGCTGGGCCAAACCCAAACCCAGCGTGGGGCTGAGACCTCACTGTGGAGAACACACACTGGCCCCCTAAAACAAACGCCCACAACTGCTCTCCTGCAAGAGAGGTAAAATGTAGCACCAAAAACTGCTGAAACTTAGTTAAACATTGAATTGCACAGCTGAGCCATGCACACAGGCAACACGAGATTTGAGTCACTTCCCTTGGGCTCCCATGAAGCTCTCCACAGTTACAACCAACAAAATAATAAACAATCTCCAAAACTCTGTGAGGCTGGGCAAGAACAGAAATACTTTAACTGATTTATAAGGGCTGTAAAACACAATTACAGTCCCATGATGATTGCTTTACAAACAAAAAATACTTTAAAAAGTTCTATTTGAGGATGAACAAAAAATTCCTCTAATCTGTACTCCAAATGAGTTCATTTTCCTAATTGACTCCCTTCCAGAGGCAGCTTGGTTTTACTTTAATTTTTCCTTAATTGCCAAAGGAGCAAATCACGTGCACCATGTCCCTGCTGCAGAAAAGAGGCTCTCGGAAGGGAAAAATGCATTTAACCAGAGGGGGACTTCCCTGCCCTGGGGCTGAGGGGCTGCAGGACTGGGGCTTGGATGCACCAAGGGAAATCTCACACAAAAGCACAAAAGACAAAGCCCCGGGGCAGGTGGGGTCACCCAGGAGCCACAAGAGGGACAGAGAGGGATGGGCAGGGCCAGAGGGACTCCAGACCCTGCAGATCCCTAGGGAGCAGCTCAGCCCCAGCTGAGACTGGTCAGGAAATGCTCTGCTGTCACTTGCCCAGAAGTGTAGTCTTTGTTGTTGCTGTTGCTATAAGCAAATATTATCACTATGAATTTTTAGACAAAATTTGAGAATAAAAATACTTTAGGCAAATTGAAAATGTTTTTTTGGAGGCAGCATTTGCCCCCAGCCTGACCCAGAGCCTTTCAAGAGCTGTGCTTTTAAAACCATGAAGCAACCTCCACTCATTACATGCCAGATAATGAAAAAATCTTCTCCCAGAAGAATCCTCACTGTGTAATGGAAGCAGACATCAATTACAGAAATGGGATTGTAGCAAACATTGAATAGAAGCAATAAATGTACTTGAAGAAAATCCAATAAACCTTCTCTACCTATGAGTGGATCTGCTGTTGTTTCCTACAAAAGACTGTGCAGGAAGTTCTTAATAGAAACCTGTGATACCCACCCTTGAGGGGAAGGACAAACTCCCCCTGGATCCTTCCGTGGCCTGCAAGTGTTTTCCCAGGCACACCTTTCCCAACAGGTACCTAAGCAAATCTGAGCAGTGAGCAGCAGCCTTTGGCCGCTCTCCTAATGCCACAATCTTCACAGCAGCTTTATCTTTACAGTAAAGAATACTCTACACTCAGTATTTATTCAAAGTCCCTTGTGCTGTAGCATCACCTTCTACTAAAACTAAAAGACTCGACCAAAAGTTTTAATTTCTGTTGTGCCACAAAGATCGCCTTGCAAGAATCACCGCTGGGTATGACACGCAGATGAAGTTCCACTGTTCACTGTCCTGGCTGGGCAGGAACATGATCCTCATCCTACCTTGATTTTAAATTCCAGCTGGGAGTTGATCGTGTACATCATCTCCGTCCTCTCCATCTTGCGGGCGCCCTCGTTGCACAGACGCACGAGCTGCAAGGGAGAGGGGCTGAGCAGGGCCTGGAGCTGCAGCACTGCTGCTGCGCCCTTGGCAAGGCTCTTCTGGGGCTCAGAGCCTCTTCTGGGGCTCAGAGCCAGCAGGGCACAGAGGCACTTCTGGGGCAAAAACCCCAGCAGGGCACAGAGGCACTTCTGGGGCAAAAACCCCAGCAGGGGCACAGAGGCACTTCTGGGGCACAGAGGCACTTCTGGAGCACAGAGGCACTTCTGGGGCTCAGCCCAGCAGGGGCACGAGGTGTTTGCAGGGCACAGTGACCAGGGCTGGCCCCACAGCTGCACCGCTCCCAGATCCCCTCAGCCCTGATCCTCCCTCACCCCTGCTCCCCCTCAGCCCTGATCCCCCTCACCCCTGATCCCCCTCACCCCTGCTCCCCCTCAGCCCTGATCCCACAGTCTGTGCTTCCAGGGGGAACAAAGGCTCAGCCCAAGCCCTGGCTGAGCAGGGCCCCTGCTCTGCCCAGGCTGCTGATCAGCTCCACACACACCCTGCTCCCACTGGACTGACTTCCCACACTGCTCCCCACACAAAGCCAGAATCACCACAGCATCATCCAGCTTGGGATCTTTTCCCAAGCAGGAGCCAGTCATTCTGCACAAACCCAATCCCCAGTGCCCTTCCTTAAATGCAACAATGCAGAGCCCTTATGCTTCAGTGCTCTTCCTGCCTGCTACTTGTGCATGGGGAACATCCACTTTTCACTGGAAGTACACAGGAATTAACTGAGAACTTACCTTGCTGACTTCTTTCAGAGCCTGCTTGCAGTTCTCGTATTTTGCTGAATCTTTGGGGGTTTTCTGGCAAATAGTCTGAAAGAAAACAGCAGTCACTTCAGAGCACCAAGCAGCACAGACTGCAACCCCCAGAGATTTCACATCTTAACTGGAATCCAGGAGCTGAATCACAGCTGTGCACTGAGATCAAGAGGGAGCACTGGTCACTTGGCCACACTAAGGAATGCCTCCCTGGAAAGGTCTGGGAACAAAGTGATGCTTTGCACCTCTCAGGATGAGGTTCATGCAGCCATCTCCAAACAAACAAAAAAAACCCCAAAATTACAAGAGTGGGAAATAAAATGCTTGATTTGATTGTTTAGATTCTAATTTCAGCCAAAGAGGGGAAGGAAGTATAGGGGAAAAAAAACCAAGAAGGAGACGGCACCCCCAGTGACACTGCAGGAATACTGGATTATTATTCCATTTTTTACCTAGAAATGTACTGCAGAGAAGAGAGAACTCAATGTCTGTGAATGAACTAACAATCCAGGTGATCAAATTCATCAGTGCTCAATTTAAAAATATACAGAAAAAATTATCAGTTCTGTTTCTGGCTCCTACCAGTGCTGGAATCTGAGCCTGAACACAATCTGCACTCCTGCTGGTGCTCCAGCTCCTCACTTAGTCCTGGCACCTGAACTGAAACACCCCAACTCCTGGTGTGAGCTCTGCCTGACAAGCACTCCCTGCACTGCCACCACTCCCTCTGAGCTGCTGTCACTGCACAGGGAGGGACAGCTCAGTGCCACTCACACAGCTGCCTTGGGAACGGAGCCCATCCTTCAGCTTCCCAGGAGCACTCCCTGCCCAAGGCTCTCCAGGACAGCAGGGCTTGTTTTTCAGCAGCAGGGCTCATTTCAGTCCTAGCACTACATACCATTCACATGCTGGTTCCTCCTGAGTTTCAGAATCATTCTGATCCTTAATTACAATTTTCCTACCAGAACATCCAAGTATTTATCTTGTGACTGGGGAGCAGGAGGGCCCAGTCCCAGCCAAGAAACAAGTGCAGCAGGAGCCCACAATCCACAGGAGTGGTAAGGGAGAAGGCACAAAGAGACTGGAGAGAACCAGGACTGAGAGAATGCCAACACTGCGAGGACAAGCAGCAGGGAGAGGGGGAAGCAGGAGCTCTCACATCCATCAGTAAGGGGAGGCGAGTGACCCTCTGCATGGGGAGGATGAGGAAGGAGATCATGGGCAAGTTCCGGCAATCCTCGTGGGACTCGATCCGGGACAACACCTCCTTAAACGCTGGGTTTGTGGCTCTGGGGAGAGAGAGGATGCAAGGATTCAGTGGGATGTTTTACATTCTAAATAAACCATTACTTTCTAAAAAGGAAGTGTGATTGCAGGAGTCAGACCACCCCAGCCTTCAGCTTTATTCCCTCAGATCCATCAGCCCCAGCAGAGACATTAAACCTCGGGAGCTGCCACCCCTGACTGCGAGGGCAGACCCAGGTGTGCCACACAGGGCCACTGTCACAGCGTGTGACACCGAGCTGCTGCAGGAGGGGGAAGGTGAGCCTGAGCTGGCAGGAGGGGAATGTGCCGCTGGCAGGCAGA